ATTTTAAACTACTTCAAAATTTATATTTAACATAGAAATCTGTTCAATATGTAAGTTGTTATTGATTTGAACGAAGACAAGTAGATATACGAAGAATCTATCTCATAACGATGCTTATTCATATTGATTATTTATTAACAAAACAAGAGCAATGTTGAAATTTTGTGCGAAATAAGAACAAGCAGTGTTTATAACTGTCATGTCACGTTTGCAATAATTGACAAAAGAGAATGAGCACATATGTTAAGATCATGAATGACATATAAAGAACGAGCCACTTTCTTTTCTCTCTCGTTGAAGGACTTAGAATGCTCTTAGCAAAAAATATATTACAGAAAAAAATATATCGGAAATTTTCTTTTCTAGAAAAATAGAAATTATCTGAGCGAAGTTAGAATCGTATTTTCATCTGTAAAAATAGGAATAAAAAAGAACTAGAAAAAGAAATCGATATTATTTGCAAATTAAAAACAAAATCAATCAGACTATCTTCATTCTTCTAAATTAATTCACGCATAAACAACTTCGAATCTATACAAGAAATTCATCATAGATAGGTACAATATATCTTTTATCAGTTAATATGATGACAATAACTGATCAATAGGGTAAGCATTCTTTTTATTTGAGAAGAATATTGTATGAATAACAACATCATATTTGATGAAAAACATGTCAAAAGAATAGTACTGAGAATCATAGTCGAATATAAAGTAAGATGATTTATTATGTTATAGATGAGTAAGAGAAAAAATCGGTTAGGAAAAGAATGTATATAAAAATCTGATGTTTTCAATACAACATTAAGTAAGAGTGAATCAAAGGGAAATAGTAATGCATCAAGTTCTTTTCGTGTCATTTGTTTTTATAAAATGATACAACGACTGGTCTGTCTTAAAATGCTTTTTTTTACGAACGTCATAAGACATTTGTCAATGAGAAATTCAATTTATTCTGTTTTAGTTTTCTACGCTTACAGCAGTAAAGAGTGTAAAGATGGTAAAAGACGTAATAGTACTTATGTCTTAGTAACTTGATAAACAATAAAATGAATTGTAATAAATTTAATTCCTCATAGATCATTCTTATGAAAATTTCAAAAAGACAATTTAAAATTAACTTATTCTTCATGCATCATCTGTTCTAACAGTTTTTGAAAAAGAGCTTACAAATGAGATAATCTTTGTACTGTCACTTCCTAATAAATTCTTCCAAATTTTTCTAATACATACAAGTAACAATCCAGAAGGATAGAAGGAATCTAGTCAATGTTGTAATCGACAAGCACGAATAAGATTTGATTAATTGATCTATTCATGCCTTTGACTGAGCATTTATATTTCATTTAAAAATAAAATTTATCATAAAACTTTCGACCAATTAGAAGACCAGGAATCGTCTATTTTGTCTTATCGTTCATAAGTCTCAAGAAGGAAGTCTTCTATTAGGTCCCAAAAGAGTGACTGTTTTTGATTGTCTTGCCAATAATTCTTGATCTCAATTCAGTTTTATGCGATACATCATTAATAAATGAGTTTATTTTATTTATCTCATATGTGTAAAATGAAAAAGAGTGGAGAAGGACCTAAAAAAAATAATACTAGTCTTTTTTGGAGAACTTATTTAAGTCAATCGTGTATGTTGAAGTTTGAATAGTATAGGTGGAGTTCGTTTAAGTGGAATGGACCATTAACATATTTATTAGTCTTAAGCTAATTGCAATGAGTACGGTTGTTCGCGAAGAAATACTCAAAATAACAGCAGTTGAGTACATATTCAGTCTTTTTTGAGTCTAGTTCAAAAAATACCTTTAAATCTCTCATACAAAAAGGAAAACGTTTTTAGGATCAGAATAAATACCAAATAATGCAAATCTCGACATGTATACCTAAAAGTATGTTTTCTTCAATTATGAATGCGCCGTTTGGTATAAAAATATTTGTGAATTTCTCGAAGGAAGTGCAAAAAAAAGAACAGATCTTTTCATTAATACACAACAGGGTTTTACTAAATATATTCCTATCTTAGAAAGTTCTGCTCATGTGCGAATAAGCACTGCTCCTATTAGATTTAACGACCATGGGAATGTTTTTTTTCCCATATGATACTGAAAAAGAGCACTGAAATGACTTCATAATATGATCTCAATAGACTGTTGTTTTCTATTAGCTGTTTTTTTTCCTAACCCATAACTGACACATCATTATGGTATTGAAAGCAAAATATTGTCCACACTGAACTTAGATATTGTTATGGACATAAATACTACAAAAAAAGTAATAAACTGCAAGAGGTATTTTGGAAGAATTGATTGTCAGAAGGAGTCTTCTATTATGGGAAACGATGGGAAACTTTTACGATAGAAAAATTCTTCTCATGTGTTCAAAGCTTTATGAGCATGCGAACTAGATGATTCTTTGTCTAGTAAGTTTTATTTGTTATATATAATTAGATTGAATAATAGATTATATATACGTAGCTTTTCAAAAGGCAACTATTCAATGATTCAAGTAGCTGATTACTTTGTTAGAACTTTTCAGATATTGAACTTCTTCATGTATTTAACTTTATAAAATTTAGCTCTATTAAAACATCATCGTTTTATTAACTTTCGAAAAAGACACGAAACGATCTTCGTCGTATTTTTTTTTTGTCATTGAAACAATGGGATATTCGTATGATCAATATGTGTATACATTTATTAATTAACCGAAGTAACCTATTCATTACTCGTTTATCAAAACGATTTGAAATCTCATTGCACTGTTTGTAAAAAAATTCAAATAAAAATGTTTCGACTTGCTGATATTGTTATTATATATGAAGAGAGAACAGGAAAAAATGTCTCGACTATCATTATGACAGCAGTGAAGATATAATGGTTTTCGGAAATCGTTATAACCCTCGAAGTCATTTCTCTAGAAATCATTAATAATCGATACAAACTAAAATTACCACATAAAATTTGATAAATTTCAGTAAGATGAATTCAATGATCCATGATGCATCGTCGCTGCGCCTTTTTAGTAATTTTTGTAGGGAAAAACGTTATACGAAACGAATTTTGACTAGGTCAACAGATATTTCGGTTGAGAAAAAAAAAACTTCCTGGTATCAGAAGGGATTTCTCTCTTTCGCTCTAGTTAGCATTAGATAGTGTCTTCAAAGAGAAATCAATTAATATAAGAAAATTGCCATTTTATTCATGATTTGGTATAGATATTAACGAAAAGATCTTGCCGAAGGTATAGTATGATAATTATGAGTTTTTATTTTCATATCATACTTTTTCGTCAGGATTACAATATAAAGGAGCTTCATTTTTTTTTTGTCAAAAGATAGAGCCTTCATTCCTTTATCATTTGAAACTATTTTCAATCTTTTGTATAAATCTATTTGTCATCATTTACATTTTTAATCTCGCAGAACAAAAAAATTGACAAGTATCTGTCAGTTCAAAGGCTATCAAAATCATCAAGAAAAGTGTAATATTACAGCAGTCCATATGCAGTCTCTGAATGTTTAATGTATTCTCTACAAAATGCTAAAAAAAGCTAGGTGAAATTTAAGATCCAATGATAACAAGGAATCTTATTTTCACTCTATTAGCGCTCATAGCTTGAGAACCTACATACGAGAAAAAGATTATTTTTTCTTGCCTAATAGTGACGGTTATCTAGTGAATTAAAACAAAAAAGAAACATTATTCAAAACGGTCAAGAGAAACCAGAGTTATTACGAATATCTGTTGATACTTGAAACCGTACAATCAGAATGTAAATCGCTCATAATTATCGTTAGCTATGGATTCTTTGCTAGAATAACAATTTATATTAATCTTTTGACTAGTTTAATTGATGATGTTCTCATAATATCAGTGTAATTTTCACTTTAATTGTTGCTGTTCTTTCTTAATCATTGAAAACGTTTTTCTTTTTTCAATAATTAACTTAAAACAAGGAACAGGTTTTGCACAAATAATTAACATATTTCAGAAATGATATAAAATTATATAATTCTTTTTTGTGTTACGACTAAATTGTCACATGATTTACCACCTGTTTTGGATTCTTTAATACAATAACATAGATATGCATGTCTCGAGTGATTTAGTTGATCATATTTCCATAATTTCAGTGTAATTTTCATTTTGATTACGATTATTTTTTTAACATAGGAAGCATTTTTCTTTGAGTAACTAATCTAAAAAAAAACAGCTTTTGCACAGTTAATCAGCATATTTCAAAAATGAGATGATATTTTTATAATTTTTTTTTGTTATGAACCAATTGTTGCAGAAAACAGTTATAATATATGAAGCAATAGGAATTAAAAATTAGAACTGTATCAACTTTTTAAAATAAATCAAACGATTACTTTTTGCTGTTCCGTTCTTCATAATTGAAGAAATGCTTAAGGAGAACTATCAGATAATAAACTTGTGTCTTTTTATTCATAAATCATATTTATCTGATGTGCAGCAAAGAGTAGAAAAATTGGTTTTCTCTCTTTTTTGTGATTTCATCAATTCATATTTATAACAAAAAAGTCATAACAAAATTAATGTCTCAAAATCAAAATCTTACAAAAAAAAGATAGTTATATGTATCCATGCGTATACAGGATTTACTTTCCGCGGATTTACTTTCCGCGGATTTACTTTCCATTGATTATTTTTGACTTTAATTGATTTTTTTTCACAGAAAAAAATGTTTTTTTCTGTCGACGATTTACTTTCCGTTGATTAAAAAAAAATTTTATTCCAATTAGTCGTTTTCTTAATTGTGGATTTACTTTCCATTGATTGTTTGGTAAATGAGTAATGAGCGAACGAGTTATCATTATGATAAAAAACTCAATAAAATAATGATTAAGCGAATTTTTAGTTTCAAATGAGCAATGCTCATCAATTTTCAAGCTATAATATTTAACTAGGATAATTTCGTAAAAATGAATATAAAGCTAGAAATACAGAACTTTTTTTCCTTCGTACCTAAAAAATGTTTGCTGAATTTATTGAATCGACACATGGTAAAAAGCAACTATGTTATCTCGATTATCGATATTGTTTCAAACGTAAAAGTCAAAATGGATCCGAATACTGGGTTTTTGTAAAATGTACAGCAACAGCAACAAGTTATTCAGATTTGTCCGTTGTAGTACGTGATGAACATACACCTTTACCTGATGAAAATGACAAGGTTGTCTTAGAAATGCGAAAAAATTTAAAACGAAAAGCTATAGAAGATTCTGGTCCAATAGATCGTATAGTCGAAGAAGCTTATCATACAATTAATATTAGATCCAGTGATTTGATTATTAATTTACCGACTATTAACACACTAACAAATAATTTACAAAAGCATCGTCGTAAGACTCGTCCGCCAGTTCCTCGAACAATTGAACAACTTCCATTACCATTACCTGATGTTTATTGCAAAACAACACAAGGTGATTGGTTTTTGTTATATGATGGACTACTTGGTGGTACTCGTTCACTCATTTTTTCCACTTATAATGATATTGCTTACTTATCACAACAACAACATTGGTATAGTGATGGCACATTTTATACATGTCCATCTATCTTTTATCAAACTTACTCTATTCATGCATATCATGATGGAATTTCTACTCCGTGTGTCTTTGCATTACTTGGAGGTAAATCTGAAGAAATTTATTTTGATTTATTTGCAGTAATATTCAAGAAAATCATGGAATTTAAACTATTCATAAAATTACGCACCATTACCATTGATTTTGAATTATGTGTTGCTAATGTATTTACTAAACATTATCCAATTGTTACTATTCGTGGTTGTTTATTTCATCATGGGCAAGCATTATTTCATAAATTTGTTGATATTGGTTTAAAGACAGCATATAAAGACGATAAAAATCTTCGTGATTGGTTTCGATCTTTCGCAGCTATATCATTATTACCATTACATCACATGTTATGGGGTTTACAATATTTATTAGGTATTAAACCTAATTATCCAGGTATTCAAGAATTTCTTGATTATTATCATAATACGTAGGTGAAGTTAGCCTCATATTCGAGTAAATCCAGCCAAGATTCGGCGCCAAACCCGCCACAGCTGCGCCAAACAGCGCCAGAATACCAACACGACGAGCTCTATCGATTGGTAGCTTTGGATTTTCCCTAGCTCCAACCATTCACGAAAAAATCCCAAAATACTAGTTTTTCCTATGCAAATTTTAGCATACGGATAGTAAATCCAGCCAAGATTCGACGCGAAAGCCGCCCCAGCAGTGCCAGACAGCGCCAGAATACAACTCAACGAGCTCTATCGATTGGTAACTTTCGATTTTCCATAGCTTGAACCATTCATGAAAAAATTCCAAAATACTAACTTTTTCCTATGCTAATCTTACCACATGGTTAATAAACCCAGCCAACATTCTTGCAGGAAGCTGCTTCAGACAGTTCCACAATACAACTCGATGAGTTCTATCGATTGGTAACGTTGGATTCTCCATAGCTGAAACCATTTGTGAAAAAATTCGAAAATACTAATTTATTAGCATATGACTCCTATCAAATGGTTACTAAAATCAGCCGATATTCTTGTAGGAAGCTGCGCCAGCTGCTCCAGAGAGTTCCAAATTAGAACTCGATGAGCTCTATCGATTGGAATAAGTAGATTTTCCATAGCTCTAAGTATGTGTTCTAAAATACGAAAACATCGGTTAAATATGACAATTTATATAGTAATATTATCGAGGATTCCTTCAGGAATATGTTCCAGAACTTCCATCTGTGTTCCAAGTACAACTAGATGAGCTCTGTTCAATGCTGTAATCAGATGTTCCATAGCCCAAACTATAGTTGTAAAAATCGGAAATTACTTGTATTTCGCTACAGAAACTAGAAGCCCAATAAAGTAAAACTACTATCGATTCCCCGAGGAAGATGTTTCAGGTGTTCTATTCGTGTTCGAAGTAGAACTCGACGAGCTGTATTGGAGGATGTTATCAGAATTTCTATAGATCAAACTAGGTCTTAAAAAATTGCGAAATTATAGGAATTTGAGTTCAGATTTATTCAGCTCGTCGAGTAGTATTCTGGCGCAGCTGTGGCAGCTTTGGCGCCGAATCTTGGCTGGATTTACTATCCGTATGCTAAAATTTGCATAGGAAAAAACTAATATTTTGGGATTTTTTCGTGAATGGTTGGAGCTATGGAAAATCCAAAGTTACCAATGGATAGAGCTCGTCGAGTTGTATTTTGGGGCTGTCTGGCGCAGCTGTGGCAGCTTTGGCGTCGAATCTTGGCTGGATTTACTCGAATATGAGGCTAACTTCACCTACGTTATCATAATACATTTGGACCGTTCAGTCGATTTCCACCACATATGTATAATCATTATCGTAATATTACACCTCGAACAATTAATTATTTGGAAGGTCGACATAATAGAATGAAAAAACATGTTAATTCTTCACATCCAAATATATACATTGCAATTGATTTATTAGAAAAAGAGCAAGGTTTAGCCTCGATTGTCATATTACAAGACGACCTGGGGCTCCGACTCCAAAACGTCGCCAGAACAATGTTACTTCAGATGATTATTTGATGAGATTATGGCAACGTTATGATGAAGGTCGTATTGATATTCCAGCATTCTTAAAAGCAGCTGGATTGAGATATTTTCAACGTGCACCAAAAAAAAATAAATAGTTATCTCTTTTCCTTATTTTTTATTTATTCAATATTTGTTGAAGCTTTTTTGTTGTTGTCTATATATTTATTGTAATTTTTTTTCTGACAAGACACTGATTATCACAATGATAATTAGTTCGCTCATTACTCATTTAGCAAACAATCCACGGAAAGTAAATCCACAATTAAGAAAACGACTAATTGGAATAAAATTTTTTTTAATCAACGGAAAGTAAATCGTCGACAGAAAAAAGCATATTTTTCTGTGAAAAAAAATCAATTAAAGTCAAAAATAATCAATGGAAAGTAAATCCTGTAATCCTGTAACTTCATCTATTAAACTTTCTTTTCTATTGTCTTGTAGACCGTCATATGCTATAAATTAAAATTTATTAATACCACATATGAAGAAAAGACAAAAAAATCAAATACAACAATTACAAAGCAATTGCTAGAGAGTATATTATAAAAGTATTAATAATGCCAATGACGAATCGTTTTTACATTCGTTTCTTTTTTGGGTGTCTAATTTGTACTCTTATTTCATTGATTTTATTTCGTTTTACATATTCAACGCCTTGGACTCCGACAATTGTAAGTACTGATTATCGTCAACGACTTGAATGTACATGTTATAGACACGATTTACCTCCATTAGATTTTAATTTAACATCAAATCCAGCCCAAAATCCATCTTCTCTTTGTAATCAATATGCTACTCGACGTGGACCACATCAACGTATTATTTCTATTAGCCTTTATGGACCAAAAGAAAATAAAAGATTTCAATATAATCAATCACTTTCTTTCTTACATGAACTTATTAATGATATGAATACAATTTATCCTGATAATTTTACATTACGTATTCATCATGATGACACAATATCCCTATCAGATGTTATATGCCCTATAGAATGTCGACATCATAATGTTGATTTTTGTAATATGGAATCTAAACTTTTTATTCCACCAAAAATCTGGCGTTTTATACCTGCTGGTGATCCACTTGTTGATATTAGTAAGTATTTTATTAATAAATACTTATTAGAATAAAGTTTGTTAATAATTATGAGTTAAAAATAGAAAATAGATAAGAATAAAATGAAAGTTTGCTTGCGTTTAAATATTGACCGTTGGACAAATAATAAAAAGATTCATGTTAATATTTGAATAAGTTTTTTACAATAATAGCTCGCATGTAATCAGTATAGAAAAAGTCTTTGCATCATATGTGTGCTTAGTTTTCGTCCTTTTAGACATTATTTAAAAGAACTACAATCAACAAACTATTGTTCATTTCAAAAAAGAAGAGTCGTGAGTATCTTTCGAAAAACTCTTCATAGGAACAAGATAGAGAGTTGCGATTGTCATCATGACAAAGATAAGACTCAGGCGCATAAATTTGTGCTGAAATTTGATTAATCAGCATTCGAGCAATTAGATTAATTCTTGATGGTTATTTCAAAAACAATATTTCGGACCTATTGTTGAGCTGATCTTGATTGTTAATACTATCGGCAGATAGAAAAAATTATTCTCTTTTGGTTTAAGCAAAGTCGCCATAGATAGCTTGTTCTGTTCAAGAGTTATATAGTTTTTTTTTAGACTCTCGATTTTAGCCAATTGATTTAGGATTACGTGGAAAAGCATCTAAACACAAGCATTTTCAGATGCCAAGTCGAACGATGATATGTGTTATTGAATTTGAAATAATCTGACATTTTTATCTCACTATTTATAACATGCAGACTTGTCAGCCTACATAGTGGCAGATTGTCAAGCTTTAAAATTAATGAAATAGCAGTGTCAGATCATTTCAAGTCAGCATAGCGAATAACTTATGGCTAGATGCTTTTCTGATGGTCACAGATCAATAGACTGAAATCCAGAGTCTCAAGAAAAATCGTACAACTCATGAACGGAACAAGCTACCACTGTTGGTCATGTGTAGATCAAAAGAGAATAATTTTTCCTATCTATTGACCATATCAACAATTGAGATCAGTTAAACAATATGTCCAGAATATTGTTTTAAAAATATTTACCAAGATTTGATCGGATTGTTCTAATGCAGATCAGTTAAGTTTTAGCATGTATCAGGGCACTTGAGTTTTGTCTTTTTAATAGTGAAAGCCGCAGTTCTCTAGCGTGCTCCTATCAAAAGTTGTTTGGAAGATACTCATGATTTTTCTTTTTTCAAATGAATAATAGAAAGAGACCTGTGTGCTCTTTCAAAATATATACTTAGAATTACATTCAAACTTGAAGTTTGTTTGTTTAAAGCAAATCTTTCAGAATAACTACAAACACCGTCGAAACACAATTTTTTATGAACTGTATTTCATATTTTGATTAAAACTATATCAATGCAACTAATTAGAAAGTCTTGTCATACACCAGTGTGTAGAATGTGATTTGTTCTGCAGAAATGTATAACGCTTCCATTTTTTTTATACGTTACTACGCACGATTAAAATATTTTTCATTAAAACAAAAATTTTATTGTAAACTCTGATTTAGTAGAAAACAAAACTCTACAATGGAGAAAAGTCAAAGCCACTCTAAAATATCATCGAGAAAAGTTACGAATAACAGAAAAACAAATTTAGTTTTATTAGTGTAAATAACGTTTTCATTGGTCCAGATCTTTGCTTATTGTTTACCAGTAATAAAGTCAGAAAAATTCTAAATATATATTTCGAAAGAGCATAAAGTTTCCATTCTAGTAGATTACTTTTAATTCGTTTTAATGACTAAGAGATAGTCGGCAACTAAGAAGACATCATATGCATAGACTTTTAACACAGATTATGTCTTGAAATGTGCTATAGCGTGTTTAGAACGAACGTTTTTCTGGGCTTAATGACTTTAATTCGAGTTTGAAACAGAATGGAGCCGGGAATTTACACTGGTTTTAAGCTGACCTAACTAGGAAAAAATAATAATTTAATAGAAATGGAAATCAGTTTCAAAAGAAATCAATATTTTATTGATTTTGATCTTCATATATCGTTCCATCAACCAAAAATAAGCATTTTAACATTTTAGTTTGACTACAGGAGTATCAATTAGTTATTACTCTGGACACCAATTGATGAGTTTGTAATTTGGTTATATACTGCTCGACCTGTTACAATAGCTATCACAAGCACGTGTAAAATAAAGTAAAACTTATGCCTGTAAATATTCTATTGCCTTTGCAAATTATTTGAGTTATAATACTATATGTGATCTAGCAAAATTCTAAGATTTAAGAGGGCTACGAGGACGACCAAAAGAAGCAAGAGCAGTTTTATCTCGAGTATTTCATTTGTTTCATATACGCATGAACTTTATGCTATCCTTAATTCTCTCTAGTCAATTATTTTTCCTGTGAAACTCAGAAAATATAGTGAGTGGAAATTTAAATCGAAGTTTTTACGGTTCATCTCATCCCTTTCGAGATCCTAGCGACCGGAAAGGAGCCGACGAAAGATTATTGTTTACGTTTACATAGCAATGGAGAAAAGACGTATCAAATATTGACCGTGCTTAGATTATTCTGGAAGTTTCTAGAATCTTCCTAAGCATTCTATAAATCTGAGATTTTCACTGTGCATTTCAACCAGTGTAAATATTGTAGGTGTTTGTATTTAATGCGATGAAAGGGTCTTATTGCAAGAGTCAATCAGTAGGGCGGTGGTATTATTGTTCTAGTAGATTTAGGATATAGTATGTATCTTTTATAGTTAAGAAAAACGAAGTTACATATTCAAGATTTAGCTGGCAATATAAAAAACGATGTTAAATGAATCAAATAAATTATTAGAATCATAATTCAAAAAGCAAGCATGTTTGAAACAATAAATTTCCTGACCATGCATTTCAATTGTCAAAAACTTATAATTTTCGTTTTATTCATTTGTTTGACATTTCTCTTTGACAGTATAGCATATAACAGTCAGAGTTTATAAGTTTCAGAGTTTGAATCATGAGACAGCACTAACAAGTTTGTTTCAATAATTTCAACAAACTATATGATATATAATATATATGAAAGATAACATCTATTAAATCAAACTGATTACCAATAACTACTAATTTACTCTGTCATAATGCTATTTTGTTTGATGAACTATTATTAGAATTTATTAATTCTTTCTTTTTTGTTCAAGTGATGAGTCGTGATCTTGATTCACCATTAACACAACGTGAACGTGCAGCTGTTGATGTATGGCTTGCTTCTAATAAATCATTTCATGCTATGCGTGATCATCCATTGCATGGGGTACCTATGCTTGGTGGAATGTGGGGTTTTCGACCTTCACTTAATCCAACAATATCTCGTTTAATGCATAATAAAATTCATGATCGAAGTTTAGTAAAACGTTATGGTGGTAAAGACGATCAAACATTTCTTTCTAAGGAAATATGGTCACATGCTAAATCAAGTATCATTGTTCATGATAGTTTTCTGTGTAAGAATAATTATGGTAAAAAGCCAGAACCATTTCCAACACAACGTCCATCTGCGAATGAAACAAATTGCTTTATAGGTTGTATACGACCTTGTTGTAGTAGTGGAAAAATGCCTTTTGGTGAATGTCCGAAAGAATGTCGTCCAAAAGATCATCCAGAATGGAATTATTGTTAATTTTTTTATGCATTGTTTCTTTTTGTTGACAGAAAAGATTTGCATTGTTTATATTTCTTATTTTAATAAAAGTTTTATTTTCGAATAGTTCTTTCTATTTCTAAACCATGTTTCTATTGATCGATATTAATTGTTTGCCGCGCTATCGAAACTTATTTTTTGGAATTTAAAGTTTTGAGATGTTGTTTTTATATCCTATGTTATGTAAGTATGATATCTTTGAAAGCCAGATTTATTATACAATTCTCCCACATAGACACCCTCAGGTCTCTATCAGTTCCAAAACAACAACATAAAGCAGAATTTATTTTAAAAAAATCAGATTAACTTCTGTAGGCTGCTGATAATTTTTAGATTGTGGAGATTAAAATTGATTGAAATCATACTTCTCCAAAATCTAGAACATTGAATTAGTTGTATAATGATGTTTTGTTCTAAAAAGCTGAAAACGCACTTGCTTCTTTCTTTGCGAGTTTACTTAACTGTTATTATTAATAATCTTGAGCCATACAATTGCAGAAATTTCTATACGAGCATTGTATAGAAGAACAGTTATAATCATTTCTTCATCAAGTATAAAATAAAAAAAATATTATTGAATATTTCAATTGCATGAAAGTCTCAAAATAAAATGAAATACAAAAGCATGCCAACTTCTTTGCAATGTTTATTTGATTCTTTAATCAACGTTTATTCGCAAGGTTTCTTTATTCTCATACACATTTACTGCTATATGCTCTTTTAAAATGTGTTTGTTTATGTACTCTATTCATCTTCCTTGTTTAATTTTTTTTTTCTTCACAATTTATAAAATGTTGCCACTAAGAAGGAAAAAACGATATGAAATCATCACTAATAATTCAAGAAACTTCATGTTTATTATTCGGTTTAAACCTTTTCTCTCATCGAATTAGAAGAGTTTTATACATATTCAATTACCATGTATTTAATCAATAAACTAATAACTTTAATGATTACAAATGAGGAGATAAAAATTGATTCAATATCTGAGGCAACAGATTTTCACTATACTTTCGATGTCATCTATTGCCTAAAGCATTTATCAGCATGGTTTGGCCATGCTAAGTTATATGTATGAATTAAAAGCAACATTTGATCATTTTGCTTCATCTATTCTCATGATTTTCAATACGTATGTGTTTTTAACAAGATTTACTGTCGAGAGAAAAAAAAGCTATAGGAAAAAAAATTAAAAGAAGAAAAACAAACACAAAAAGAAAGAAATGTTGAAAAAGCAAAAGTAAAATCGATATTTTAAAAATTTATTATGAGATTGTCGCCTTGGTCTCTTAATGGTCCACGCTTAATCGTTTATGTACTTAATAGCCTCTTATGTAGTTTTATTTTCTTTCTTACATTACATATTATTCATTATACACCTATTGCCATTAATTCATTAAGATTTAATTATCGGCGTCGACCTGAATGTACATGTTATAGACATCGATTACCTCGATTCGATTTTAATTTAATATTAAATCTGATCGAGAATCAAACTTTTCTCTGTAGTGATTATGCTACTCGACGTGGACCACATCAACGTATTATTTCTATTAGCCTTTATGGACCAAAAGAAAATAAAAGATTTCAATATAATCAATCCCTTTCTTTCTTACATGAACTTATTAATGATGTAAACACAATATATTCTGACAATTTTATATTACGTATTCATCATGATGATACAATATCCCTATCAGATGTTATATGTCCTATAGAATGTCGACATCATAATGTTGATTTTTGTAATATGGAATCTAAACTTTTTATTCCACCAAAAATCTGGCGTTTTATACCTGCTGGTGATCCACTTGTTGATATTAGTAAGTATTTTATTAATCAATACTAATCGGAATATAATTTTCTAACGAAGAAACTACCCGAACTAATATCCATCGTCTGAGTTCATAAGATTTTGGTAAGACTAGACAAATTCTCAAAAAGCTTGTTCTCGTTGAACTCTGAAACCAAATTATGACGGCTTTACTAAATTTTCGATTCAGCTTTAGGTATTTATCAAAAAAATCAAATAATTGTATTTTGATTTCAACTTCTGCTCATATGTAGATCAAATGACTGTTAGAATATTCTGAAAGTTTCAACCGAAACGAATGTTCCTTTGTTGAGATGTTGACATTTCCAAGTAAACTCGATCTTTGTAGCAAATGACCATTTTTCCAAATTCAATATTTTCACAAAGGAACATTCTTTTTGACTGAAACTCTTAGGATATTTTACAAGTCAATCAATATGTTTATCGGCAAAGTTTCAGATCGAAATTCAATTATATGGTCTTTCGGTAAATATTTAAAGCTGGATCAACAATTTAGTAAAATACTCGCAAGCGGCTGCAGAGTCTTATGGGACGAATTCTTTTAGAATTTTTCTAGTCTTACCAAAATCGTCTTGTGAACCCAATATGAGCTCAAACGGCAAGTGTCACATCGGATAGTTTCCTCAAAAAATAAAGAAATAGAAAAACTGAAGTAGGTGAGGAGAAAAAGGAAACTTTATGTCTTATGTTGAAACATTGAAATATTTGAAACAAAGAATGAAAATCTTCGTGTTGCTAGCTGAAAATCTAGTTCTCCTATGGCATTATACCAACTAGAATAAAACTTTCTAAGTATTCACTTTTGAAGTACGGAATCGAGATTCTGTAGACATATCACTACAATATAACAGTACAACTCAAGCTGAAGAGAAAATCCTACTAAGAAAGAAAAGGTATAAACTATTATCAAAAGATTTTATAATAAAGTTAGTCACCTAGAATGTATTCTGAATTGTTGAGAATAACTTTTTGTGTTCTTTAGATATAATACGTACAAGTTTTGACAATGGACATATATATGTCTTTGACTGTTATAGTTGTTCAATGTATCTTACGAAAGGCTAGAAAATGTGGAATAATGACTAAGTTCTTCTAGTTCATTCTGAATATTCTAGTAGTTAGATCGTTTTTTCCATGTAATATTGAATCATATAACAAACAGAATAAAGATTTTCAACCACTGTGTTAGTTAAATTGCTATTAATAAGAGGAACTAGCAATAAACATAATAACGAAAGTGTTATATAACTAATGAATAACTCATATTTAGTCGAGGATAATATTATATTATGAATACAAGAAAATCACGCTTCTACAACACATGCCATGCAATAATACAAGGGTAAACGCTGTATTATGCAAGACGGGTCGTTAGTAACAGTAGAATTAAAGTGTTTCATAGATAATTTTCAGTTATCATGTAAGAAAATGATAAGAACAAATCACAACAAATTTCATGAATGATACTAACTAAAGGGTGTCCCATAATAAATGGCCGGTTTTTGTATTTCTTTTTTTCATCATCTAGTACGTTTATTTTTAAAAACAAAATATACTACAAGATGCAGCGTGAAAAGCTCTACAGTTTACACAAGACCGCTTATTTTATAGTTGCACTTGTTGTTTTCAAAATGGGCAAAGTTTTGAGCGACCAAAATTCGACCGTACGAAAATGGGTCACACAGAATTTTGCTTATTTTCAAAAGAAAAAATGCATATATAAAATAAGCTATTCTTTGTAGATTGTAGAGCTTTTCGCGCTGCATCTTCTGGTATATTTTGTTTTTTTTTCTATAAAACGTATTATGTGATAAAAAGATGAAATAACAAAAGAAGTGGATTCGTACTGTACCGAAAAATTATCTCCTGCGCACGATCAAAACTTGATCGCTGAGAGTTTTGTCCATTTTGAAAACAAAAAGTGCAACTAAAAAATAAGCGATCTTATGTAAATTGCAGAGCTTCTCACGCTGCATCTTGTAGTATATTTTGTTTTTAAAATAAGCGTACTAGATGAAGAAAAAAAGAAATAAAAAAACCGGCCATTTATTATGGGACACCCGTTATATTGATGAACAAATAGCAAATGTTCATATCTAGTTAGTTTAAAAGCAAATTATTACGAAATATTGAATTTTCAAACATTTACCACTCATTTTTGCAAGGAAGTTGATTTTTTTATGTCCAGTGAATTGCAATTGTGCATTTTACTTATGGTACACGAACTTCAGCATTTAAACGCACTAATTTCGAAAATTGGTTATCTTTGCATCAGAATAGTATCATTTATAAAGTTCGTCTGTGACTTGTTCTTACTGTTTTAGATGATCACTGAAAATTATCTGAAATGCTTCACATGTATTTTATTTACTTGATAATCGATAGAACTTCACTAGTGAGCTGAAACATGCCACTTAACAATGGTTTTTATTTACATTATTCGTATGAAAAAAAAACAGCTTTAAAGAAGCTTCTATGGCTAAACAAAAACTCAGCTCATTCGAGCGAATCAAGCAATGGTTTTTCAATTTTTAATCTTAGTACTGTTACCCACAGAACAATTTTCGACGAGAAACTGCGGTTTTAGCCTTGGTTTTTCGAATCGAGTAGTTATATTCTTTATTTGATTTTTAACAACTGTATGAAATAGCGGTATGATGAGTACACAGTGAGATATGGTTTTCAATTATGAACAATCGATGCTACTTCAAACATTCTTGGAAATGAATCAGGGATCACCGTCGAATGTACCACGATCTTCCGAATTCGCTCATGGAATCCAGACTCAGTGAAGCTAACCCATAATCATTAACCTCACCTGGATTTTGTGAAAATTTCAAATGGATTGTCGTTTGAGAACATCGTACGAACTAGAAAGTAGTTCAATTTACTCTTGTATGCTACTTACGTAATACATAGTGACTTGAATAACCTTTGATAAGGGTGCATGTCTTGTTTCACAAAAAAAGATAGTAAGAAACAAAAATGATTCAATTTAGGAAAAATTACTAATACCAATCATTTCATGATTGATTAGTTTTCTTTTTTGCCTCAGATATATGTAAAAGGTGTGGATGCAGATGTGAGCTTTCTTTCCATCAACATCCACAATCACATATCAAGGCATTTGAAACTGATAGTAACCATTATATTCAATACCGCAGTTTTCTTCTGAAAAATTTTCCATGGGTTATGATTCACCCTATATCTGTCATTAACAACATATCACGCCTCAAACAACCTTTATAGTATTCATATTTCGATGTCAAACTATTATACATACCATTATATATATGCTGTTTATCACTCTACTTGAGTTGATAGTATATTTTAAAATCATTGATTCTTGAAAAAAAGCAGACATAGATTTATAAGCTATGAATGTGGATATGCTTTAACAATTGATTCAGAGAATCTTCATTTGTGTCATATCATATGCATTTGACATCAATTCTAATTTATAATATTGGAAATATGATCTTTAAGGACGATTATTTCTTTCATAATTCCATTTTGTTTGATGAACTATTATTCGAATTAATTAATTCTTTCTTTTTTTTGTTCAAGTGATGAGTCGTGATCTTGATTCACCATTAACACAACGTGAACGTGCAGCTGTTGATGTATGGCTTGCTTCTAATAAATCATTCCATAATATGCGTGATCATCCAATGCATGCAGTGCATATGCTTGGTGGAATGTGGGGCTTTCGACCTTCACTAAATCCGACAGTGTCTCTTTTAATACATAATAAAATTCATGATCGAAGTTTAGTAAAACGTTATCGTGGTATCCGTGATCAATCATTTCTGTCTCGTGAAGTGTGGCCCCAAGCTCTATCAAGTATCATTGTTCATGATAGTTTTCTTTGTACGAAAACCTATAGTAAAAATTCAGAACCATTTCCAACACAACGCCCATCTGCGAATGAAATAAATTGTTATGTAGGTTGTGTACGACCTTGTTGTGATGATGGAAAACTACCTTTTGGTGAATGTCCAAAACAATGTCGTCCAAAAGATCATCCAGAATGGAATTATTGTTAATTTTTTTTATGCATTGTTCTTTTTCTGTTGACAGAAAAGATTTGCATTGTTTATATTTATTATTTTAATAAAAGTTTTATTTTCTAATAGTTCTTTCTATTTCTATGACATATTTCTATTGATCGATATCAATTGTTTCAGTATATACGATACTTGATGAGCTCGTCTTATAGATTTAAACGCTAAAATTCAAGTTGAACATCCATGGAAACATTTTGAAATATACTCATCAGATTTGAATCATTCCTGTGCAAGTTTCATGAAAAGCTTTTAGAATGAATTAGATATGCTTAGAAATCAAAATCACTAAACTTTGTAAAGAGACTTCATAAATGGTATTCTGATATTAAGATGAACTTCTCGTGAATAGAATTCCATTTACAATCTCTTCAATTCATTGAAAATAACTATTCGCAAAACTATAGATAACTTTTATAAAATTTGAAACTTTTTCAAAGGGCGTAGATGTATAAGCTATTGATTTTGGGCCACAGAGTATTTCAAACCACTATATTAATGATCCTATACAAAGTAATTTGTTTTATCCTTTGATAACAAAGTTAAATTAAAGTTCACAAAGTGGAAGTCACTTAGAAGGTAGAATATTCATACAAATAGTTATTAGGTATTTATTAAGTTCCTGTTTTGCTTAGTATTAATCGAAAATGTAGAGTTTTTGACGATGGTTCAAGTTTATTTCACATTGGTTACAAAGAGCACTTCATTCTTTGTCGTTTCATATGAGAATTAATGTTATATGATTGCAAAATTATCCCTATGCGAACCAATCTCTCTTGTACATCATTCAATAGGCCAAAATGAGTGCTACACAACGACATATAATTCATTCAATTCAAGTTTAGTTCAAAATACATCATGTATGCATAGAATATTAGAGGATGCGAAAAGAGCACTTTTTTTACTCAACTCTGAGAATATTTCATGAGAATAGGCAGATGTCTCATGAACATAAATCGTACATTTGAAATTAGCATGAAAAATTGAGTCAGTCCATATAGTTTTCCAAATTATTCGAGTACTTCAATTTTCGTCTCAAAATTTAGATGAGATCCCCTTCAGTGATAGGTACAAAAATGAAATTCATGAAAGTCCCTGTTTGACTGGAAAAAAATAAATTCTACACTTTAGAAAAGTTAAGAAAATTCATAGAAGTAATAGATTACATATTAAAAACAATCTTTCAACCAATTTTATGGTTCCCTCTATCCCTGATGAGGAGCTCGGCTAAATTTTTGGACGAAAATAAAAGTACTTGAAACATTTTGAAAACTATACAGACTTACTTCGTTTTTCATGCTGATTTCAAATATACTATTTGTTTCTATCAAAAACCTACTTATTCTCATGAAATGTACTCAAAAACAAGTAAAAAAGGTGCTGTTTTCGTATTTGCGAACATCACATACACACTTTGTGTATTTTAGATTACGCCTGTATCATAATTTTGTAATGAAATAATAGTAGCACTTATGTGATATGACACAAAATCAAGTGCTCTTTTTTAATAAATGTGAAATAAACATGATCCATTTAAAAAAAAATTCTACACTTTTGATTAATACTAAGTAAACAGGAAACTAATAAATATCTAATGACTATTTGTGTGAATATTCTACCTTCTCCATGATTTCCATGTTGTGAACTTTTACTTGAATCTATGAGCAAAAGATTCGATTTAGTTCTCTTCATAGGTTTACTAATAAAGTAGCCTAAAATATTCTGTAGTTCAAAATCAATACTTTAAGCGCTCTCCATTCTGTGATCGAAATAAACTAATCAACATCTATATCCATCTACAACATCGAAAAAAAAAGATGTCACTTTTAAAATTTTTACTAATAGTTCAAGGTTGTCTAGGGAAACATTTTATTAATGGTCATTCGAACGAGATTTTTGATCGATTGTCAGTTTTGTTCGATTGCTAAAATATGGCAACACGAACTGCTGCAAAACCAGGACGTCCACCTGGTAAATCAACTGTTAAAACACCTGGAAAAGATCAACTAAAAGGTGATAAACAACCAACAAATATATTAGAAATTGTACCTGGTAAATTTAATGAAACCGATTGGCTATCACTATTAGAAAATGATGATACAGAAGATTTTATTGCTGATATATTCGATAGTATATGGACAGAAACATCAAAACAAATTCAACAAATATATATTCGTAGACAATTATTACCATTTACATTAATGATGACAGAAAATGCTTTATCAAGTGTTATTCAAGTAAATCAAATATTCGAAAATATTTTTCTTTTAATCTACTTTTTGTTTTTGTCTAGTGGGCATTTTTAGAACGAGATGAACCAAAACCAACCGATGGTGACTTTTGGCAAGAAGATGATGGTGATCTAACTACAAATCATTAGTTCTATTCAATTTTTGTTTAATTTTTTTTTCTTTTCTAGAACCTATTCCATGTTCGATGGATAATTGGGGTGAAGGTGTTGTACCGGCATGTCGTGAAGAACGTCCTCAAAGGTTTTTGTTTTCAATCGATTTTTTAACATTATCAATAATATTTTTAATTTAGTCTTGAACAATCACCAACATTAGATACTGAACGTTTACCTTTAGCTCCAATAAATATTGGAACACCAGAAGATGTTAATCAAATAAAACGATCCTCTTCAAGAAGTTCGTCAGTCAATAGTTCAATTCAATCTGTCACTCCTACTAAAGGACCTCCTAAAATTGATCATATTCATCAACAAAACAAATCTGAAAAATCTAGTAAAGATAATATCGATGACTATACTTTAACTCGAAAAGAATCTCCAATCGACCAAAATATTCGCCGATCATCTTTTGAAAAAAAACCTTATAATCATGATATACTTGTTATTCAAAATCAACCACCTAAGGTTAATAATCCAAAAAAATATTTTCTATACATATTTTTGTTTTGAATTTTTCTTTTAGCTTGAACCATTATCTGGTTTATTCTATTCAGTACAAATTCAAACAAGTAGTTCATCAGTTAATTTGACACCAGCATCGACAACGATAACAAAACATCGACGTACATTGGCACCAAAAGTAACATCACAAGTTGGTTCTGATGCATTTGCATCCAGTACAAATATAACTGGAACAACAACAACGAAGAGTATAAGAAAACTTGAATCGAAATTATTCGATGATCAACATATTGAAGAACTTATTTCTAAAGCACCTGTTGCTGCTCATTCAATGCTCAAAGTATAATGTTCATTGAAAACATATGTTTTGTTTTTCATGAAAGTATTATAGAGTATTTTAAATCGACCACCTGGTTATCGAGAACTTGAACTTGATGATTACGGAAATGTTATTTCTATAGCTAAAATTGATCCAGATAAACTTGCACCGAAAAAGTTTGATAAATTTAAAGATTTTTTTATTATATAGTTTTTAAATCATTTATTTAGTATTCGTGTTAAATGCGATATTGTTAAACCAAGAAAAGCTGTCATTGAAACACGACCATTACCTAAACAAACAAAACAAATGAAACTTTCTCGATCGGAACCAAAATTTACTCCTGTTAAACTTGGTTTGTTTATTTTGACTTTTTTTGTTTGAGTAGAATGTAAAGTGGTAGAATAGCTTAACAACAGCGTATTTTCAAGTTTTTTTTCCTCTATGATGTTATGCTATCAGGTCAAAGCCAGATAGTGATTTTAATAGTCAATTAAGTTTTCTATCTGATGCATTCTATACTTTAATGGCAAGATTTCTAAAAAAACTCGCGCACGGTAGTTTTCAAGTCCAAGAAGCTATTTTTTGATAATATCATTTTAAAGAGAATGAGATTAGAGGTCGTCGCATTTTCTACGACTTTCCCTTAAAAAGTTGGAACTATAACAAAGACTAAAAAGGCTTTTTTCAGTCAAATTTAAACTAAATTCTGTAATACTTTTAACTTTTTCTGGGAAGGACGTAAGAGACAATGATCCCGTATCTTATTGTCATTAAAATGACACTGTTAAAAGAAAAGCCTTTCAGATCTGAAAAGTGTCATGTCCTGTTTTTTCTCGAACCATTGCCTTCATAATTCATCTAGTACAGAATGCACTAGATAGAGCATTGCATTGACTAATAAAATTACTATTTAGATTTGATTTAGTTTCTTAACATTATAGGAGAAGAAGAAATCAAAAATACATTGTTGTTAAAGTTTTTTTCTATTATCTGATGATCAATTTGTTTTTGTTCATCTTTCAGTGCTTTCCGAACATTCAAGTGATGTTGGTGATCTTATTCAACCGGTGCCTGGTGTATTATATGAAGATGGAAAATTAAAAAAAGGTGATCCTCGACGATACCAAGTAAATAATTCAAATGATTTTATTATTTTTTCTTTTTATCTCATATATATATATATTCAATAGACTGGAATGTCAAAATATAAGAATTTTTATGATGAAAGTCGTCCATTGAGACCAATCGCTCGACAAGGTGATCTCGCTATACTTCAAGCAGCAAATGATTTATTACGTAAATCAAAAGACTACGATGATAATGAACAAGATCCACAAATTCCTAAATTGCATCGACTTGCTCGAATACCACCAATTATGTCTGGATCGAGTGCATCATCGGCATAATACCTTCTTTTCCTCTTGTCTCAAACAAAGTTTTATTTTTATTTTTATTTTTCCTCCTTTTTTTTGCTTTTAAACTGAATATATCAGATCTTTTCTTTTTAATAAATTTTTGATTAAGAGTTTTAAAAATATAACGAAAACAGTTGAAAATATATTTATCATTTTTTCAGAGTACTCTGACTTTTTAATTGTAGGCAACAAAAGAACATTATGATTAGTATCAGTGTCTTCACAGCATATGTATATATTGCCTCGTTTTTCTCTTCCTTGACTTTTCTTCTTTTTTTTTTTTTTTTTTCTAGAACTACTTCTTCTTTTGGAAGGATGATGATGATGATGATGATAGTTATATTACGTGTGCACGTCAGTCACTTGAAACGCAAATGGCAACATTCTTCTACTCTTTCTTGTCGTTAGAATATAATACAGAGATGTCTCCTTCAAAAGTCACCCCATATATCCATCCCTCCCTTTTTACCCATCTTTTTTCTGTATCTATTCTTAACGTCGCCATATCCGAGCGGCTGCCGCTGCTCATGGGTGATGTCAATCATCGTTGTGCATATAAGACGAGGAAACACGTACATAGTACATCGCGCTCGAACGCAAAAAAAGAGAAAAGGAGAAGACACCCAATAATGGAAGGCTATTACTGATATTACTGTTGTTGTTGCTGCTTTTTTTTCAATATACCGATGCTGCGACACACACACAAGCGCATCTCGAGTAATGCATGTACATCTCACACTTTTTGTCTTCTTCTTTTTTCTTCTCTCTCTTGCTCTTACATGCCTGTTATCTCTGCTTGATGGTATCTATCGTCGACGGGTGATGACGAGAAAAGAGCGAGGCGAAGATGTTTATGGATGCATGCTCCGTCAAACCTTGAATGGTGAAAGCAGTCAGAAGAGTAATCCAATCAACTGTACTAAAAAAAGAAAAAGAAGAGTCAAAAAAAGAGAACGATGCGACAGTGATGGCATTCTCTATGTCAAATGAAAAGTTAACCAAATTAACACAATGTATAAATGACGTAGATATTTAACCAAAAATAAAACTTCTTTTGAAATACTAAATTTTTCTAAATTTTACTTTAGTTTCATTTATAATTTGAATTAAATTAATTTTTCTTGTTTCTTTTTTGAATACAAAAAATGTATATATACATTTTAAAACAAATGATTTGTGCAATTGTGTATTCATACATATATATATATATAGCCATATACATATATCAAAATCACCTACGTATATGAGATGAGAAGAGCCAAGTATGAGGCTTTTTTCTTCTTTTTATTTACACCCACTCATCCATTGATATATTTTTATTTCGTAAGGCAAAGAGAATTTCTAGTCGATGATTTAGACATCACTCATTACTTAATTATACATTATGCACACTATGTTGCTTGTTGGTTTCTGTTGTTGATGATGATAAGAAGCGAACGGTGATCTTGCTCGTCATCATCATCATCATCATCATCATCAATAGAACTACTACTGCGAAGGAAAAAAATCCATTTTCTTTCTTGATTGCATCCTTTTGTCATCTCATCTTCTTGTATTCTATTAGAAGAACGAACGTCGGTCTATCAAAAATGTTGATCGACTCGAATGTTTGTCATCTCATTTCAGAGAACGCCTGGTTCGCACACATATATACATACAGTTTGGGAAAGAAACAATCTTCCGAGGGGCACACATACATATATATCAACGATCGTCTTTATGTGCGAGTGACGAAAGTTAGTCCAGTGATGTAACGATACATGTAAAGAAGAGAATTGTGTGAGAGACAGAGACAGAGAAAGAGAATGATAGAAATTGTACAAGCGACAGCTAGTACCAACCAAAAAAAACTCTAAGATTATGCAAGTCACTCTGAGAGAAAGAGAGAAAGAGATTGGAAAAATATCTTGTTGCTGTTGTTGTTGTTGTTCTCATCACCAAACTAAAGATCGAGCGCGCGCGCACGCGTACTCGTCGCTTTTGCTTGATATTCGATACGGAAAATGTATCATCCTGAAGCTTTTCTATTCTACAAACATCATCAGTAGTAGAGTAGCAGCATGAATATATAACGACAATGACGACAATTATCAGCACCATCACGTGCGAATGAAAAAAAAAGAAAGATCAGAGCGCAACAAAGAAACAAACAAACAAACAAACTGAAAAAGGTTGTAGCTACTTTCCCTGTATAAATTGAACTAATCAAGCTCCATTTAAATATGTATACATACGGTGTAACAACAAGTCGATGTTCTCTATGTTATGCTCTTTTATATACAACTACAACGAGTTCTACAATTGGATATTCATCATCAAATAGACGACATGGTAATCGTTGTTCGATAGCATCCATCGAACGGCTAATTTCATCATCTAAAAAGCTTCAAAATCTTTGGCTTAAAAATCAAAATCGAAGTATTAATACTCGCTCAATATGTTTTCGATGTTGTGATACAATACGACAAATTGAACAAATTAAAAATCATATCGAACAACTTAATAATGAACAACAATTACTTATGAATAAAATTGAACATAATCTTTATAAACGTGCGCTTATTTTACAAGGACAAAGACAACAACGATCAAATGATTACAGTGCTTTCTCAATAGATCATCAAGTAATTGATTTAACTTAGTTTTTTTTTTTTTTAATATGACAATTTTTTCTTTCCTAGCAAATCCCACTCAATGAAGATGATGATACTGAAGAAGGTGAAGAAAAACCTCGAACAGTACCTACAATAAATGGACATGGACATCCGTCATCTATGGTCATATCAACAACCACATTAGTTGGTGCTAAGCGACGTAAATCTAAAATAGCACATAAAATTAATATAGAAGATAAAGTAAAAGAAAAACAAAATACTTGTTTATTTTTTTCCTACTAAAAACTTCGTTTTTTTCTGTTTCTTTTTTATTAGTCTTCATTGCTCAATCATACCAGACAATCAAGTAATAGCTATACAGAAGAATAAATTCATAATTATAATCATAAAATTTCTTCTTATTTAAGTTTCTCCAATATCTCATTCAACTGAAAAGCTTTCCTCCAAACTTTTATTTAATTCTCATTCACCTAAACATCATCGAACTGGTATATTTTCAACTGGTATTAATGGTCATAATAATAATGATTTAGCTAACCTATCATTTGGTTCAGCATATAAATCTTTAGCTTTACCAACATCATCATCGGCAACTACACCACCATTTATTGATCCAACAACAGGAGCATTAATTGCAATTGTTTCAAATCCACATCATGCCGCTTTACTTGCTCAACAACATCAACAAATGTTTAAAACATCTTCAATATCTCCAACATCAACAAATACAATTGATGAACATGAAATAATACCTCCTAAACAACCAAATCCAAAAAAATTTCCTTGTCTTTTATGTGGACGTGATTTTTCAAATAAGTCTAATTTAAATCGTCATCATAGTATTGTTCATGTCGCTATAAGAAATTTTGAATGTGCACGTTGTCCAAAAAAATTTAAATTAAGACAAGGACTTAAAACACATATGCAACGATGTCATGGTGTTAATACAGATGAACCAACATTTGTTTTACAAAAACATCACGCTCATCATCATCATCATTAATCCTTTTTTTTGCTCAATTAAAATAGATAGCATAAACAAAACAAAATAAGTGTTACTGTTTTTTTTTTCTTTCTTTTTCTTTTTATATAGTGTTCGTTGAGTTTTTTTTTCTTTTTTAATTCTTCTTTTTTTTTCTTCTTGTTAATTAACTATTCGACATGAAAACAAATAAATTTTACTCTAGTTTTTATCTAATAAATGAGAATGATAAAATATTTCTAATGTAAAAATAGTATGACTTGTCGATGTACAAGTCTACTTTTATTGTGTATACAAATCAAATCAGGAAAAGATATTGACATATACGTATACATATCAACATAAAGATATTTAGAAGTCGTGCGAAGGTCTCAACATTGGAAGAGAAAAGCCTATATAAGAAAATGTCTCATTCAGGTAATAAACAATTCTAAACATCTTGATAGTTTTATTGATTAATAATGGAAATCCTAAAATATAAAAAGGAGTACAAATTGTAGATCATCGATTATTTCTGTTGTTAAAAAACACAAGATCAGTACAAAAAAATTCGAAACAATCATTTTTTTGGAATTTCTATAATTTAACACTGATATATATCATGGAAAAAAGGGGATGATCAAAGAATTATTAGACAAAATGTTGGTTCATTTCTGATCTGTTAAAAAGTCTCAATAGTTTTGAGCTAGAATGTTCTTTTCGAATATGAACTGTATGAGAGTAGTGAAATAATTGTTGAAAAGCTTTAAGAAAATTCATTGGAATGGAACTTGTAGGTTGACGTTTCTAGTGAACATGTTTATTTATTTTAGCTCGCTTTAAAGCATTTCAGATAAGTCAAAAATTATAGATTGAAGCTAGAATTCGAATATGAACTTAGATATGTTGTATCTAATTTTCTTGATGAGAATAGTGAGAGACTTCTTGAAAGACCGGAAAAATTATTTTCAATCGTGAACCAACAAGCTTTTGTTTATTGTAGAACTCCCTGTTCGAATATGCTAAAAATTGTCGAAGTCGGTCGTTTCATACAGCGAATATTTCTCAACAAAGCGTAATATTCAGTTAAGCTGTAACATTCATTCAATCATTTTTTTTCAAGAGCTTCTTGCAACATAAACATGATTGTCGATTCTTAAAATAGGAAAACTCAAGAGGCTTGTCCAGAAACAAAAATGTGTGAATCTTGTAGAATAGCTTCTGATTTACAAACTCATATATAATAAAGATCTTAACTTTTAATTTCCAGTTGCAGTAGTGAAAATACAAAAATATTCAAACTAATTTTTTGAGCTTTTTAAAGATTATTTTCATTACTCTTGTACAAAATCTCTAAGTCCATACTCGAAAAAGGATATCATAATTCATAGCTTTTGAGACATTCTAGCAGATCAAATGTGAGTAAACATCTAGTCTAAAAACTTACCAATCATTTTTTATTAGACTATATTTTGTCCAATATGCTTTAAAACTGAAACAATTCTAAATATATAGATTCAATAGATTCTCGCTTTCTAAAAACCCTTACAGAGTACAGTATTCTATTCAAAAGTGCTATTGAGGAAAAAAAATCATTATTAGCTGATGTACCAGCTGACCCAGAAATAACCTACCAGCAAGAGAATGGAATATCTAAACGGTATTTTGACCGTATGAATCATAACTTTCCTAATAATAGATGGTTCTTCAGTTTTTATGCATAAGCTAGAAATTTAGTGAAATCGTTGAAAACTATTATTATCTAGCTGAAAGAGAAAAAAAATAGATAAATTACAGAGACGAGACTTTTGTAATAGTATTCAAATTGTCATGTTTTTAAATTTTCTCAGCTTTCAAAAATGATTGACAGTGGTTTCAAAAATTGATCATATAGACTTAATTTCGATTTTTTTTCGCAATGACAACTCGCATGAAGAATTCAAATCACGATTTGGATAGAGAAATATTTTTCCAACAAAAATTTGAAGGAAATAAACTTTTCATTATATTCTTAACTTTCAAGATACCTAGAAAATCTTAAACTTAGTTTCTTCAGCATTCACAACCCTCAAATATTTGTCGGCAATAAATCTCTCTATTCAACTCACTATTTGAAGACCATATGAGTTACCATTAAAGAAAAAACTTGAAATTAAATCTGTATGATTCATTTTTAGAGCATCTATATTTATAATATTTTAAATTTTGCTAGCCTATCTAGTTTTTTCGAGGTTTCACAGGGTCCTCTCAAATGTTTTTGTACGGAAAGTTCTCAAGAAATCTGTGTGACAATAGTTACACATTGGGCAGAGTACTTATATGAATAGTCAACTAAAAAACATATCCGAGAAATTTTTGATATATTCCATTCTGTAGGGCTTTAAATATTAATCATTTCAACAAAAAAATTTTTAATTTTCATCCATAAATAATAACAATGGATTCAGAATAGCATCACATTAGTGTGGAGTTCTGGAACAATTTGTTTTTTTCCAGTATATTGGTCGTAACATCTTCATTTGATGATGAAAATAGGAAAATCTTTGTACCGAGATAATCAGCAAAAACAGTTCTGCAAAGTCAGATGCGTCAAAACAAAAATTTTCAGATCACTGCACTTTTTATGGTTGACTACTCATAGAAGTACCTGAGGAAAAACAGCAACTTTTGGTTTGAAGTAGATGATATTAGATTTCAAGTTTGTCAATAATAAGCTGAAAATTAATGAATGTCGGAAGACACCAAACATTCAAAAAAATGATAAAGACTTTTGCAAGAACATTTCAATACTAAGAAACCGTTTATTTATGTCAAAAATCGATCAAATTACTGTTTAAATAAAAGTGATTATAAATGATCTTATTGATACATCCAGAGATTTTGCTAATTAAAGAATTATCCGAACTGATACTCGTAGTTTGAGCTCATATTGGGTTCACAAAGAATCTCAATAAGACCAAAAAACCTTTAAAAAGTTCATTTCCGCGGGCTTCTAAAACTTTCAGAATATTCTACAATTCATGCGATCTGTTTATAGACGGAATTTCAGAACGAAATATCGTTATTTGATTTTTGGTAAATATCTAAAGCTGGACGAAAAATTCAATAAAACGGTGATAACTCAGTCCCAGAGACTCATAGGCACGAACTCTAATAGGATTTTTCTTGTCTTACCGAGACATCGTTGCGAGTAGAATATTAGCTCAAACAGTGGGTATGAGTTCTGGTACTTCCTTCGTAAGCTGATCAACTTATTAATTTTAAATTATTAAAACTAAAAGATTAATAAACAAGTTTTTTCAATAAAAAAAAAAACATTGGTGAAGTTCAAAGCTTTATATATCATGTAAATCTTCAGCTTAAATTCCTTTATACAATCCATTCCTAATAAAAAGCAAGAACCACTATATAGTAAAATTATACTTTTTCATAGGTTTCTATCAGTAAGGATTGGTCTTTTCACCAAACACAATAGATAGTAAGAGTACCAATGCATATAAATATAAAGAATGTTTTATAATTCTTCGATACGAACTTTGCTATAATTGTTTCAATGGTTAAATCTTATTAATATCAATTTATTTTCCACCATTTCTAAAACCTTTCTTCAGTTACTGTTATAAGATAATCGCAGATAATAGAATTATTGTAGAAACTCACATTTCATTATGAATAGGCAACATACTCATTAAATAAATAATTATTAGTCGAGATTTTACAAGAGCTCCTTGTCGTATGTACTCTTGATACTTATTTTATTAAAAAAAAAATCGGAAAAAATGGATAATATTTTGAAATCAATTTTGAAATCATCTTGTAAAAAATCTACAAAATTTTGTGTTTTCTATCTAACTAAGCCATAAGAAAGAAATATATTGTAATAAATAGTATAAAGTTATAAATTGGAACTTCGGCAATAACAATTCGGAAGGTAGGTATATGAAGCTTAAATACATATATCACTTCTTTTTTATTGAAATATGTTTTGCTCCATTAGCGTTTTATGTGAAAATTGCTATTGAGATTGTGGTTTTTTTTTTCAATCTCACTTACACTCATATTTTAATTCTCGAACTCATGATTCACGGATGAATTCAATTTCGTTTAACGCTTTAGAACTATCATTTGAAAAAATTTCTTCTTAAACTTAAACCAAATATATATTGGTGAAATTCTCTATTCAAATGGTTTCTTTAAATAAAAAAAGTTTGTTCAATTTAGTTTGCAAACTGTGTAGATTCGAGCGAGCCATTACTGTTATAGTAATTTCAAGGTTCTGTACTATATAATGACTACAGAAGTGTATAACAAAGGTATATAAATTACTGGAAAGAATTAATTTCGAAATTATAATCAAACGGATAAAAAATCGAATTTAGAAAAATATAACAACTCAGAAAAAATGTAATTTTTCCTGCCATTTCAGGAAATCTGGCATCCTTGTACCAGTCTCAGTTATCTGATTGCCGGTATACTAGTCAAAAACTGAGTATGATCTATGCTCAATACGAACTAATAGAGATTTGTACAAAAATGTTAAATGTGTACTCAATTGACTGGTAATATTAGAATTAGTGAATACCTAAAGAAGGGAGTCCTTCAAATGGTAAATCACTTTTGAATCGATAATATATGTATTATTAGCTTATTGCTACAGAGATATTCCACTTTGACAAGAGTTTTTACATGAATACTGTGCTAACAGAACAACTGGTTTTCGATTTTCAATTTGAAATTATGCATAGAGACAGACATTAATGAGATTAGTTTCTTATGAAGGTTGAAAGTCTTTTAATTTGCTTCTATCCTAAAATAATAACATAAAATCGATCACTGTATAGGAAAGATATAAAAGACATGGTTTTACCATAACTGTATCTTGAGAAAGAAGTATCGAAAAGATCTGAAACATTCACAAGAAACTATACTCGTTAAGGATTGTCTTCGTTCTGGAGTAGAAAATCTCAAATTGATTCTAGTTTTGAGATTCTATGTATCAAAATAATTATAAATTTCAATTCTTCAAAATTTGTACAAACTGGAAAAAAAAATCGTACGAATTTAGAATAATATAAACGTCAATTTCTAGTCTTTTGAATTTAATCATTCTAAAAGTAGCTAAGAAATCAGAAATGTACTGTCTTGAAGATGAATGAGCGTGACGGGTAAAAAAACGGAAGCTTCAGCCTAGAAGTCTGCTGCTTTCGCTTCGCGTAGCACTAGGGTTGAGGCGACCGCTGGAGTAAGTCATACGGGCAGAGGGAATAATCAATGTCACCTTGACCATGACAATACTAATATTAACGAAACAACGTTATTCGTTTTTATCTTTGATATCTGCTTTTTTGATGACGGTTCTCAATTATGTATGCAAGTAAATCACTGGTTTCTGTTTTTCTACAATTGTTTATCGTGCATTATTTCTGTGAAAAATCAAAAAATTAGCAATTAGATATTCAGCAAAAATTAATAACAATTTGAGATTTAACATGGTCTTAGATATAGCAAACACAATATTTCCTTTTTTTCATTGACAAAAGTAATAATTAAATAAATTATTTTATCAAGACTAAAATTGAATATGACTCTCATCAAATAATATACTAGTAAATAATAGATCCATTTATAAACTGATGAGTGAGAGTATTACTACCGAGAAAGAAATCATATTTTATATCTTTGACATTCTCTTGACAGAAAATATCTGTTACTCATCGATCAATTTGAGTAATTCCTCAATATCAAAGCATTACAAAAATCTAGTATATTACATGATTCTTTTCAATTTCGAACTTCTTTTTTTTAAATAGAAAAATCAATAATATTTTTTTTTGGTTGATTTTTTTAAGATATAATAACAACAAAATAAATTTTCAAACACACGCACACACACACACACACTCTGCGTTATGTTGTCTATAGTGCAAAAGAAAAAGATAGAATGAACTTTTGAAAACTGAAAGAACAAAGAGGAGACATAAAGTCAATCCACTGAAGAAGAAAAAGAAGAAATAGCTTGATCCACACAAAAAAATGCAAATTTAAAAAGACAAAAAAAAACTTCATTTGCGTCTTAAAAATATGAAATTTAGTCGATCACTGTTGTACAGCTACATACAAACATCTATATCGTTGCATCAAACCAAATATAAGACAGACAAACACAAACATGACATAATTTGATATAAATAAAAATACATTTAAAAAAAAGAAAAGAAAAAAGAATGCATATACACACACAAACACATAGACAGAACGATCGACTGCAAGTGAGTAAAAAAATACACATACAAAGAATAATTGGTGTGCAGCAATGCGTAGCTACGAACCGGAAGATTGCATAGAAAAAAAACGACAAAATACTGTTATTTATGTATGTGTGATTAATAATAGAAAACAAGTTCAATGAGTTATTAAAATTCCACCAATTTCGGAAGCAATTCTATTATGAAAAAAAAATAAAAATAAAAGAATCGAAAAAAAACTCAACAAGATAATCATTTACCTTGAATGAATTAAAAATTCTGCTAATTGTATTTGTTCAGGTGTACCAGATATTGTTACATGTCGATCTTGTGAACCTTCATCGAGATCAGCTATTTTAATATTAGCTCCAGATGCTTGTCTAGATAAATATGTATAAACCACATAAATTCAATCAAACTCTTTTTTTTTTTGAAATCTTACCTAATCTCTGATATTTTTTGTCCACCACGACCAATAATACAACCAATAAGATCATTAGCAATCGTTATTTCACGTTGTGATTGTAATGTTGCACGATTTGCTGGAAGACCATTTGGCATTAAAGGTGCTATTAGAAAGAAAAATAAAAGAAAATATTATTTATTAATATTTAATAGAAAATAATTATCTATTGATAAAATAAATAATTCATTTCAACTTACCAGCTTGTAGTGGTAAACCAGGTCCAAGTGGAGCCATTGGTGCAAATGCATTTAACTGGAATGTATAAATAAAAAAGAATATATACATAATGCAATAATATTTATCTTACTTCATTTGGTGGTAAAGGAATAGCAAATTGACCTTGTACTTGATAAGCTTGTCCATTAGCGAAAATAATTGGTGCATGAACAGGTGATATCATCATTTTAGGTCTATATGGGACTGTTTCACCTTTGGGTGGCGACTGCTAAATAATTCATGTATATAATATGTTAAATAAAAAAAAACGAATAATTTTTATACTTCAAGCATAATTTGACATATTTGTCGAAAACAAGATTCAATTGATTCAAGTCTACCTGAGATTGTAACAGCACGTTCAGTTGATGTTGGTAACATTTCTGATGCAACTTGCACAGATGCACCTGTTGTCTATAAATAAATAAATAAATAAATAAAATTTTCAGTATAAGAAAAAAAAGAAAAAGAAACATTTTTCTATAACAAACCTCACGAATCTCTTTTATTTTTGCACCACCTTTACCAATAATTGAACCACATTGACTTGCAGGTACAACAAGTCGTAATGTAATTGGAGGAATTGTTGTACATGTTTGTTTTAAATCCTATATAATATAATTTTTAATAAAACAAAAACACAGCAAGAAAAACTTTACATCTTCAAATTTTTGACATATCATATCAAATGCTTTTGATAATGTTTCTATAGTTCCAACCATAGTAACAATACGTTCTGGTGTTGTACCATCACTAATATTAATACGAGCACCACTCTAAACATTTAATTAAAATCATTTCAATGTAAGTTTTGTGTTTTTCTTGAAAGAAACTTACTTCTTCTCGAATTGCTTTTATATTATCACCACGTTTTCCAATGATACTACCAACTTCCTGTCAATAAACATATATATTAAGAAAGATAAAATAACAAGAATAAAAATAAAGCTTACTTTTCCTTGCATAAGCAAACGAATAGTAAGAAAATTTTCAATTTCTCCTGCTGACTTATTGTTAGCATTTTGTGGATTTGCATTATTTAATTGAACAACTTGTTGATGATGATGTTTTGGATTGTCCATCATCATGATTTATTTATTAAATATTGATTTATAATAGGGACAGATGTCGAAGGTGAAAATCAAGGGCAGGTAGGTCGTGAAAATGTGTAAAGACGAAGGGAGAAGGGAACCTAGAAATACATTAAAAAAAAAGAAACGATTATTATATTTATGCATTGTCTTCGATCTACATTTAGGTTTTTTCAATAGTGAAGAACCTTAATTTATTTTATATATATATATCGGGTATCCTTATTTCCTTTCCGGATGAAATGGCGTTAGAAATGAGTTGTTAGCACTCATCATCAATCGCTCCGTTTGCCTTTTTTTTTATAGCGATTGCTCTTATTCTTCTTTTATTTAATGGCGTTATTTTTTTTTTTTTTATTGAAAAACTCAAGAGAAAAAAAAATGAGCAATCAATATTTTACTATCGAAGCGCCTTGTTGCTTACTTGCATTAATAATTGATTATAATATGATCGGTGAACGATTAATTCTTTTTCTTTTTTTTCGTTGTGGAAAAGTGATTTTCTATTCCCTTTTATTTCTATTTGTCTATTTTAAAAGATCTAACATACAATTTAATTATCATTCTTGGTCATCTTAACACTACTATCTATCAAGCAATACTATTTATGTCTAAGGGAAAATCTGGAATGAATAATATTTCTTATTTTCTTCTGAAGAGATCTGATCGTATATTCATATAACATATGTTTAGTTGTCAACAATATACAGATGACGCACGCATGACTAGTTACATTATAAAATATCTCAAATGACCATATTTCAATAGGGAAAAGAGTTTAGTTTCAATAATCAATCAGTATATATTTTTTCCCTATACCAATCTAGTAAACACAGTCTACACTAAGATGATGACGAATATTTCTTATTCTCATTGTCGATCGTATGTTTGACATCAACAAACATTTGGAAGTGTTTTTTCTACTACTTTTTCTCTGATGACATAGAAAATTAACTCCTCAAGCCGATTATTATTTGTGTCCTTATTATTGTCAGAATTTTTACTGTCATATTCATCACATGCAGACATAACTTCTAATTGATAATAATATAAGTTGGAATAAACTCATTCCTTTGAGCCATATGTTCTTCATTGATAAAATATATATGCACACATGTATTGCGATCATATAAAAATAAGATTTAACAAAAGAAAAAGAAAAAGAAAGGGGATTTTTTTTATCCATTAAGTGGTCAAACATACTCGTTAGGTTTTTCTTTTTCTAGATTGTTCGAGGAACATAAGTCAGACAACAATCAAAATGAACATGTCGTGCAATAGGCAAATGTTTATGACTAGGCAAAAGATTGTTTAGGGATCTCAATTAGTTCGTTGCGTGATAGAGAAACATGTGTATCGTTCGAAGAATTTGTGTGCGTGATGTCAATTAGAATATAGTAAATTGACTATGTCCTCGGAAACAAATACCCTATCTATCTATCTATATATATATATATATTCATATGTGAAGTATTTTTAAAATCTAGATGAAATGTAGTCCTATGTTAAAGTATCAACTCAGAAAACAACGAAAGATTCTAATATTTGAATAAAAATTCGATTTCTTAAACTTACTTTATTCTTGTCTTATCGGAAATGTTTAACGTTGATATGAGGAGTTCAGAAAATCCATTCTTTGCCTTTTTTATGTCGTATTTTTTCTTCTCTTCCTTATTAAGATAACGAAAAATATCTTCTTCCTTTTTTTTTCTTTTTCTTGCTTTCCATAATACTCATCATCGTTTTTGCTTCTATGAATATATCGCACATTTGACACATAGACACGCATACCATGTTATGAACGCTAAGAAAACCCTCAACGGATACTAATCTCTTGTCTTTTCTTTTTTTTTCTTCTCTGCTACTTCCCTTTTCTACACGATTAAATAAGAAGAAACGATAGGAACTATGGATGAGCAATATAGTAGTTGATATTTCTCTTTTTACTAGTCTATGAAAGATGAGATGGAAGAAAAGAGTTTTTGTCGTCATGTATGTCGTAGAGACATCAGACAACTCAAATCAACAATACTCAAAGAATATAATGAGATTATACATGATGACAACGACAAGAGGCTAACTATTCATTCTTCAAGTATAATGAAAGACTTGAAGAAGCTGACATACAGTTCCTTTTTAATGTATATATATATATATTTACATTTACTATAGCATAGTATTAGCACATCCTTTTTTAAAAGCTTATACATAGAAGCAGGAAACAATCTTCGAGCAAACACTTTTTCGAATGTAGTTTCCTGCATTACTTCAAAAGGATTATAGAAATGACTATGCATTCACATATTTCCACAACGTGCTTCATTTATAATTAGATTGAGAGCATCATTTATTTCTTTTATTAATGATGTAATATGAACATATATAGTTCATTACCTGCATGAAAATAGAAAATGTTAGATGAAGTTAACAAGAAACCAAAAAGAAAAAAGAAAACCTTGGAAGAAAATAGACTACTAGTAGATTATTATTCAATATAAAATAGAAAGAAGTATAACTGCAAAAGAAGAAGAAAAAAAATAGAAGAAAAGACAAGGCAAAGAGCAAACTGGTCCGAGTCGTTAATCAACATCTCATCTTTTCCTTCTCTTTCTTCTTCTTCGTTTTCTTGTTCTTCTTCATTCTTTTCTTGTGTTACTATTACTAACACTACTACTAGTCCACCATTGTCAGAACAATTTTCACTCAGACATACATGCACAAAAACGACGACATTGTTCGCACAAGGAAAAGGAATTATCTTGATACGATCACCATCGACGAACACAAGGCAAAGGCGAGAACTGCTTGTTCCAGCAGAACTAATTGATGCGTGTATGTTTGTGTGTATATTTCAAGTTTAAATCTCATCTACATAACATCTTTTCTCTAAGAAATGACAAAACCAGATACGAAGAAATTATATACGCAGATTTGCTATTTGAACTTATCTTTGTTGTTGTTTAACATAAAACATTCTAATAGTTGTTATGATGTTTATGAATTAGCCTAAATTCTATTCACATAAATTTATAGAATAAATATCGAGAGAACAAAAATACAAGAAATATAGAATTCTCAATAGAATATTTAACTTCAGGATGTCAATTCTACTTATTGTTCTTATAACAATAAAATATGAACGAAATAAAAGCTATAAAGCTTTCTTTTTTATCTATCTCTACAATAAATAAAGAAAAAATAAAAAGAATGAAGATTGAATAGCTACTGACTAGTGAACTGTTAATTGCAATTCAATGGATAAGATTTTGTTTCCTATTGCACACCGAACGATCGTTGTCCCGGTGTTCTGTATATAGTTGATGACGTCGATTGAATTAGCACATGTTACTGAAGGACGAACGAAGAGAAACATGCAAGCAGGCAATCTTAACATTTCTACCCAAGAGAAATATCAAATGAATATACTGAATGAATCGCTCCAACTGGCGTGTCTTGTTGTCTTAACATATATTTATATACAGAATCCAGATATATCGGTATCAATCTACCTCTTGCCCATCCGGCGACCTTAATGTGATACTCGACACATCTGTTTAGAAATCAACTACGATGCTCACAGCAGTCGTTCATTCATACTTACACAAATCAAAATGAATAAGAATATAATGATCGACACTAAGCCTTACAGTAATAATGTATATATCCAAATGTTTACTAATAGAGAAGACAACAATGCTGTTTTTACTTTTTTTTCTTCTTCTGTCTCGTGGCTCAGTTAAGTATCAACAACGTGGACGAATATTACTATGAGTGTTGATTGTTGTTGTTGTCTTCGTCGTTGTCGTAGAGCGAGAGAGAAAATTCATTGGTACTAATGTCTATTTGATAGCGTAGGCAATGCATCTATAGTAGTAGTAGAAAGAACGAGAGAAGAGAAGGCAAAAACTGAAGAAAATAGACTTGTCGCTGCTGCTAATATGCTGTTACTCGAGAGCAATGCGAGATTTCTTCCAATGCTTTTGGCTTGCGCCTTCGCTATCGCATACTGTTACAGAAACGATCATCCGACGGCCGAAAGAGAAGCGTGTAGTCTAACAAAAGAAAGAACGAGTAGTATAGAGCAGATTTTCGTTATGTCTTCCATGTTTCTCTCTCTCTCTCTCTTTCATTTGTTATCGTTCTCGTCAGCTTGTCGCTTCTATCTATGGCGACAACGGCGACAGATCATCTAACTACATGCGTATATTTATCTGTGCTCGTTCGCAGAGAACTTTGGCTGAGTGGTCTGATAGAACGACAATTTGATAGAGAGAAGAGTTATTTAATGTTCATCATTTTCTCTTCCATCCATTCATCTATTTCTGGGTTCTACGATTCCTGTAGTGAAGTAGCTCACAAGTATTGCGTGTAAATAGAAGCATTCTTCTATCTTAAATACCGCTATGGAAGATATATGTTCCTGGTGGAATAAATTTTTTTTGTATGTACGCATGCATGCACATCAATATATATATATTTAAAGATATACAAAATAAAGCCCTTAAATAACAAATGAAGCGTGTACACACATGTACGCTAATCGTTTATGATCGTCAACTAGAAAGAATATTCATCTAGGGATTGACTGGAATCTCTCTAGAGATGATTGATTCACCGAGACATATCCTTAGTTACAATCGTTTAGATTGTTTCGAAAAGCTATGATGCATATTTAATTGATTGAGTCAATCAATGGTAGCAAATCTTGAATATACGTGTACTGTGTCAATTATCACTACAGAATGGAAACGATTAGAACTAACGAGTAAAAGAAAGAACGTTACTTCATCGATTGATGGCAAATGGGACAAGAGGCCAGTTCGACCTTGTTGAACTTAAAGCGAATATGACAGCAATACTAAAAAGAGACTCATAAGGTACCTAATTGTTTACTTACGATCAATATCTTTTTCTCTCTCTCTCTCTCCCTCCTTTTCTTTCGAAGACAGAGCCCGTGAAAATGTCATCAATAATGATGCATCATCTAATTGGCGTGA